TATGCATGTGTGTTTTGTAACTTTATTGCTGGCTGTGTCTGACTTCATTATTGGAGGGCATAAACACAGGAGAAGAGATACCTTGTGATCACTGTCTGGGATGAGAAGAGTTGTCAGACTACCTGTCTGTATGATATCATCAATTTTCTAGGAGAACTACCCTATAACAAGACACTCTCTAGAGTTCCACCAGCATGGACCTGGGATCCAAAAGGACTTTACTTAATAAGGTGTGGGCAGCACAAAGAGAAGGAGCAGAGAGAACATTTTTACGGCTCAGCCAATTGTTCTATGTAGCAGAGAAGAATTTATGTTAACTAAATTTATTACGCTGTTCCTGTGAAGTTGTCTAAACATGTGGAAAAGCTTATTCAGTAAATGTTCTTGAATTGATGCCTGGTCTGAATTACTTATAAAGGTACCATGTGTATTTCTAAAGTGATGTATTCATAGTGTATTCATGGAGAACTGGTTGTGGGAGCAAGCCATGTTTAACCTTCTGGGTTAAGTAGAAGAGTTGGTATACAGTAACAGGTGTAACCAAATGAACCCCTGTGGTTATGTATCAGCAAGTGAACATTCTGGTTAGCCTTTATGGTTGGGGAACAAAGGTGTAATAAGAAGGAGTAGCAGCAAGCTGGCAGTGGAAGCAGTGATGGTGGCAGGTGACGAGAGACATGGTAGTGAGGGAACAGTTAGTACTTTATGTTCCCCACTTAGTGGCTGAGTCTCCATGTGAAGCTCTGCTGTGGAACAACTTCCACCCATGGACCAAGCCTGAGGTCATGATGTGCAAGGCCTTGTGGACAGAGGGGCTTCCTTGTGTGCCTAAGGGCACATTCTGTCAAGTCAGATGTCCAGTGAAGATGTAAGATTGGCTGGTGGAGTTAAGGACATACCATGTATTACTGTATTAAAATCCTGTGAACTTTGTTGTTGGTGCAAGTGGGAACAGACCTAGCCACTGGCTCGAGAAGAGATGCAGTTCTTCTGTAAGTGTGTGGGGTTATAGATGTGGAGTGACCTACAGCCTGTAAGTGTTAATGCCTACATGAAGTAGAGGAGTGTAATGCATCTGAACCTCCCAACATGTAGACTTTAGGGTGCATCCCCAAATGCAACCACAAATCAAACCCAAGCATGTTTGTCTGCACTAGTTTTAACCACTCTTTTGCAAATAGATGGATGGATGAATACAAAAATTCATGTTTAATGTCAACATTTACTGAGGGAAGCATACATTCTGCAATTGTTCTTACCTTCTTCTGAAAATGCAAGGTACCTAGCTATCATGTTGCCTTACTGGTTTCAGGTCACCGACCTACACATGGGTACAGCCAGGGTACAACCATAGCTCCTAATCTACATATTCCCTCTGGGTCAGTAACTCAATTAAAGCTAGATGAACAGCATGATATCCAGGCAACGTGTTCTTGTCAGTAATGCCACCCTCCTGGTTTCCTTCAGGAAAATTTTCCTTTGAAAAACAATAATGTTGAAAGTAGTACTGCATACAAACACACCTGTGATCAGCTAGTACTCGTGTAGGTGTAAAAATGTGACCCTCACTAAGTAGGTTGCTCAACAGATCCATACTACTAAAAAAAAAATTCCATATCCCAATAATTCCTGGACTATTTCAGAAAAATGGTTCAAAGTAGCTGAGCACAATGTTTGTTTTGTTTGACTGCAGTAAAAACCTCCCTTTAAAAAATAAAGTAAATACTTACCTTTTCCACAGCCAACACTGAAGGGATAGAATGTCTCTGACACTTGTTCAATAAAGAATTTAAAATGAAAAAAGAAGAAAGTGAAGCGTGGTTGCAACTGATTGAATTTGCAGAGAGTGGGAGGTGATGCGGCTGGAGTGTATGGCCTGGTGGGGGCATTTTGAGGGGTGTCATGGAACTGAGTTAGTACAAGTAGATTGAGTTATAGGTTATACAGGGTCATGGTCTTCCAGGTGAAAGAGCTGATTTGACCAGTGATGTCTTGTGCAATAAATCTAATGCTTCTCTATACCTGAAAGTACTGGATATTGCCTTCAGTTCCCACTGCTGAACAGAGCAGCAGGGAAGCAATTGAAAGGTAATGTGCTTCAAATGGAGTGATTACATCAAACCATTTGTTTTGCTTAAATGGACACCGCACAGGTTTGCTTAAAGGTTACTAAGTAAATGATATACAGTGACTCCATTCTTAAAGTGAACTTGATAATGTGTTGAAGATGATGTAGTGGGAAAAGGTCAAGTTCCCAACAGGCAAGCCTGGTCAATATTTAGAGTTCCCTTTTATAGCTGAAAATATTTTTGCAACCTTAGAGTCCCATCACTGTGATTATCAGCCTTATTGGCAGATAGCACATCTCAGGAGAAGGGAGGGGTTGTACCAGGATCTCAACCATAAAATGTGGTCAATATTTACATTCCTGAGTACTCTTGGCGCTAAATAGTTAAGGAAAATTGACATACAAATACCATGGTAGCAGTGGCATTTTTGCTACTTTAGAGTCACTTTCAATTCATTTAAATTAATGTTAAATGACAAAGTATTTAAGACACTCTTTATAGAGTATTGGTAGGAAAATTATCAAATATTTCTCAAAAGGTTGTTAAAGCTTACATCATGGCCAGAAATGTGTTTTTTCTCTGTAACACCTCTAACAAATTCCATGATGGATTCCCAGGCTCACAATGGGGTTGATTTACTAAAGGGAAATAGACTGTGCACTTTGCAAGTACAGTTGGATTCTGCAAGTGCAGTTGATCCAGAGTTTAGTAAATGAGATGAAGCTTCACTTTGAAAAGGGTACCCAATCACATGCAAGGAAAATAAAAAATGCACTTTTGATGGCACATGATTAGACTATGGAAGTCTGCACAGCTTCCCCTCATTTACTAAACTCTGAAGAAACTACAATTGCAAAGTGAACAGTCTATTTGCCTTTAGTGAATCAACCCCTAATGTTTTTATTCCTCTTTCTGTAGAGGTATTGCCTGTTTTGTTCATACCTAGCATTATACTGACCCGAACTGCCAAATAGTAGCATGCAATCAAATTGCACATTAAACATACCACAATACCTTAAAGTTTTAGTACATCCTCCCATATTACTGCCTTATTATCTTAGTTTATAAAGTTGAGCCTTGTTCTGAACACTTGGGAGTATGATCTAGAGAAAAAGTCTCCATGACAGATGGAATACATCTGATAGGTCTTGTGCAGTGCTTTCAATGTTTCTGTGATATGAAGTTTTTCCTGTATAATGTTCCGTTTCCTCATGCCATAATGACTCATTAATTATGATCTCCCATCTGGATTTAACTTTTGTTTCATGTTCTTATTTAACACTAGACAGCAGCTAAGACTTAGAATTCCTTTTGCTTGCACCAAATTTAGAATGAGGAGCAGTAATGTTATAAAACAATAATGTAATAGTAATATATTGATAAATAAGATACCATATCTTATACTGGGACAGGCTTACAGCATTTATAAAGATATTATACAGTGATCAACATAAATAAGTACACCCCAACACATTTGTCAGAAAACCTTTCAGAATAAACATTTTCTATGGGATACTATACTACAAAAATACTCCCACAAATGTGGGCCATTGATTGCAAAGAAGATTTGTTAATTTGCATATACAAAAAAGTATTTTTCCTAACAAATTCATTCAAGACCATGTTGCAAAAATGAATATACCCCAATGAAAGTCTTAGGAGCAAAGCTAAATTTTAGACAACAAAATCCTAATTAACAAGAATTCAACTACAGGTGAGTCTAATTATTCATTAAACAGATGTCCAGCAGACAGTTGATTATAAAAGGGCATTACTTAACAAAGAAAATCCCTTCCCATTTCATGTTGTTAGCAATAGCACCACATGGAAGAGAAATGTCACAAGGGCTGAGAAATAAAATAATTTTAAAGAAAAGCTTTATTTATCAGTCAGAATACTGTAGCAACAGTGCTAAAAAAAAATTAACAAAGATGGAACTTCAACCATCTCACAGAGACATCCAGGCCGTCCACAGAAGTTAATGCCTCATCAGGAGCGTCTTCTGATGAGAAGGATTGAAGAAAAGCGCCATGAAAGTTCACTGCACTTAGCTAAAGAAGTAGAAAGCCAAACTGGGGTGATTGTTTTCCATGACACAATACAGCATACACTGCAGAGGAATGGCATGCATGGGTGTCGTCCACGAAGGAACCCTCTCCTAAAGCCCATGCACAAAAAAACCCACCTAGAATTTGCCAGGTCCAATGATGAAAAAGATGATGACTACTGGGGCTCTGTACTCTGGAGTAATGAGACCAAGATGTAGTAGTTTTTGTTGTGGGGTGTATTTATTTTTGCATCAACTAATTTGAGCAAAACTGAAGATTTTGTAATCTCAGTTATATTGTTAACCTTACTTTCAAGTAATGAGCTAAACAAATGTTCTATAAAATTCAGTTTTGTCAAAATTTTGGAAATTGTTCTTGTGTTTATTGAGATATTGATTAAAATCTTACTTCTCAAAAGGGGTGTGCTCATTTACCGTATTTTTCGCTCCATAAGACGCACTTTTTTCCCCCAAAAAAAGGGGTGGAAATGTCAGTGCGTCTTATGGAGCGAATATAAAGCGGCCGGTCCGGTATTTCCGCCGCCACCATGTCAGAATACCGGGCCGGCTGCTCAGCTGTTCTCTGCGGCAGGAACTCACCTGTTCCTCGGTCCAGCGCAGTAGTTTTCCCGCGCTGGCTTCTTCCCGCCTCAGCATCTGTGACAGCCGGGTGCCCACTGAGCATGCGCAAGAAGCGCTGCGCTTTGTGAATGGTCCGGTGTCTTCTGGGACACATGACAGGTCCCAAAAGACGCCGGGCCATGCACAAATCACAGCACTTCTCGCGCATGCGCAGTGCGCACCCGGCTGTCAAAGTCGGGTGCCCACAGTATAGGCGGACAACTCCGCGGAAGTGGGAGCGGGTACCTGTCAAATTCAGGTACCTGCTCCCCCTCCCTCTCTAAAGGTACGCAGTGTCTGGTCATGCCCTGTACTGTCTGCAGTCTCTGGTCATCTCCTGTACTGTGTCCGCAGTCTCTGGTCCATCTCCTGTACTGTGTCCGCAGTCTCTGGTCCATCTCCTGTACTGTGTCCGCAGTCTCTGGTCATCTCCTGTACTATGTCCTCAGTCTCTGGTCATCCCCTGTACTATGTCCGCAGTCTCTGGTCCTTCTCCTGTACTGTGTCCGCAGTCTTTGGTCATCTCTTGTACTGTCTGCAGTCTCTGGTCATCTCCTGTACTGTGTCCGCAGTGTCTGGTCACTTCCTGTACTATGTCTGCAGTCCATTGGTTCAGAATATTTTTTTTTCTTGTTTTTCTCCTCTAAAACCTAGGCGCGTCTTATGGTCAGGTGCGTCTTATGGAGCGAAAAATACGGTATGTTGAGCATTGTAAGTATAATATATTATGATATTCAAAACTGAATTCTGATACCCTGTATAATTTATTAAAGTGTAAATACTGTGCTGTTCTTCTTTCTCTAGGGATGCCGGGACTGATCAGAGTGGCTCTGATTGGTCAGAATAGTCATGCCGGCATTGACCAATTAGAACTGCTCTGATTCATCCCTAGGGGAAAAAAAAATAAGAGTACTGAAGTTTTCAAACTCCAGGACCACTGCCCCGGGATGTGTGGATGGTGAAACTGTATCACCCAGGAAAGGTAAGTGCAGTGGGGACCAGGGGGGTGGTGAGGGTTTTGGGTGTTAGTTCACATATTCATTTTATCTGAAAAGGTGCACTTTAAGCATTTGCACATACCTTTACAGATATGCTCTGACTGTGCCTGGGGTTCCCCTGATGCTTGGGCAGAATCATGTGCACTTTTCATCACCTCTATGTTGAGTGACCTGCTACACCTAACTATTGGTCCTTAAATAAGTGCAGCGGGGACTAGGGGGGTGGGGGCAGGGTGCAGGATGTTAGTTTTCATTTTTTCTGAAAAGGAGAACTTATCTTTAAGGGTGATTGGATTTGACTTTTAGGGCCAGTTCATTAGTTGTATGCAATGACAAGTGTACTGTTTACTCAGGAAGCCCTCAATCCATGCCCCGATGAGCCATCATTAACTCAAGCCCTGACTTGGTGGTGTTCCCGCATCCCCACCTACCATTCAATCAGAATCTTATTATTGACCTCCAACATGCTCTGATTGGATAATGGGTGGTAAAAAGGTGGGGGTGGGGGTAAAGGGAAAGCTATATTTCTGAAACAAAATAGCATAAGCCAATACCTCTATTCATTTTGCACATGAAATAGGAGTGTTCCCATTACACAACAAGAGTGTAAAAATAACACTTGAAGGCTTCCTGATGTGCCTGTAGTTCATAGGATTGCAGGCTGCATGTTTCACACAACGATAATGAATGAATTCTAAAACAAAACAACCTTAGGCTTTGGCAAAATATTGACTGCAGCACTTTATTTGGTTTAAACAGAGCAGCCATCAGAAATGTTGGGGCCCCCTACACAGCTTTAGGCGCCTGATCAATGAATGCCTGTGGAAGGGAGAGGAGCTACTACAAGAGGAAAATGGAGGGATTCATTCCTCTATATTCTGCCCTCACCACCCCTCCTATCCAGGTGTACAAGATGCTGGAGCATGTGGCCAGGTCACAACTGCGACCCCTGTAGTTATGCTCCTGGATGGGATCAGTGGCAGCAGTTGAGGATGGAATCAGTGGCAGTGGTGGTAGGGGGGATGGGATTAGTGGCAGCTGTGGTGGTGGTGGGGGGATATGAGATCAGTGGCAGCGGTGGTAGTGGTGGTGGGAAGATAGGATCAGTGGCAACGTTGATGGTTGGGATAGGATCAGCAGCAGTGTTGATGATAGTGGGTGGGATGGGATCAGTGGCAGTGGAAAAAAAGTATTTATCAAGTAGCAACAATAAAATCTCATTAAGGACAACAGTAACATCACTACAAAAAGGGGTTACACAGCCATTGTATAAAGTAGTAGTGAAAAAGTAGCCAGCAGGCTTGGCTGGTGCTCAATAACACACATACATTAAATATATTGAGCAATCCTCCTCAATAATAAATTGTACCAAAAAAATACAGGAAAGGGTTAAACAAGTGGTGATAGGGCTGCCCATATTGTGATCAAATGACACCTGCCATTCGCTATGTCCTGCCAGATATATGTCCGCTATCCACCTTTGCCAAGTTTTGATCTTAGAACTGCTGTCCTTAAAGCCTTTCAAACCGGCGTGCACAGCTGACTCAAATAAGCCAGCCTGTGATGTCACAGGGCCCCGCTCTCAATTGCGCATGCATATAGAATTTAAAAAAAAGCCGCTACTGATATGGGTGGAAATCCCAAAAAGAGCAGCTATACATCTGTAGTACTACCCCCGTTAGGAGTTGCTGAAGTTTAGTCCTGCACAGTCAGGTAACACACATTTCCACAACGACTTGCATCCAGGAGTCAGAAATCAGTCTTTGAGCTTGTTTTTGATATTTTATTAGGGGGATATCAAGTTGGATGGGGAAAGAGGTATATGGGATGTCCAATGGAACCAATGAACTGAGGACAACTACCTGGAACTATTTACAAGTCTACTGCAACTCAGTTTCTGTTGGGGAGCTAGCCAGCATCTCCCCATGTACCTCTCCAGACCCCTTGATCTGGCTGCCTGAAGGAAATTCCTGGACAGGTGACCCAGTTCTGCCACTTTAAAAGAAAGACAGTCCCAACAGGTTTGCTAATCTGGTTTCCCACCAGAGTGCTCCTTCCCCTGGCCCAGGGGGTGTAGGTTTACTCACTAGTTCCTCTCCTGTGCTGCTATTGATTCGGTAGCTGCTACCAGGCCTTTTAGCTGGGCCACTCCTCCTCTGCTGCTCAGGTGGTCCTCTCTCAGGGGGGCCAGTGAGGGTGCAAGCTTTCTTCCTGTCTAGCTTCTCCGCCTGTAGGTGAGCCCCTCTCCGATTTGGGCCCTCTCCCAGGCTCCTGCACTTCAACCTACATCTCCATCTTCCACCCGAACTCTCCTGCTACTGAGCAGGCTCTCTCACTTTTAAGGGTTGTCTTGATCCCTTGCCATGCCTCCTGTTGGGGATTGGCCAGGATCCCTTAAGAGTACAAGCCAGCCACTCCTCAGATACACCCACTGGATATATAACCATGCACCACACCCCTAATGTTGCTTTTGACTATCTAAACTGTTTGTCTCGCACATTTAAACTTTCATTAACATGAACCTTTCAGGATGCAATAAGAATGACAGAAAGTGGGCACAATTTGGGCCCATTTCCATTGAATTATGGCCGTGGTCTCCCATTTAAATTAATTTTCAACATGTCACTCTTTGTCACTTTAAGCTTTGAGCTTACCTGTACAGTTATGAAGTTTATTGGATCATTGACAGAATGTGACCTTAAAGAACCTTCTGAATATCACTAGGACCAGTGTAGCACTACCCTCTTAGGAGTCGCTGAGTTATTTTCGGACTCCCTGTTGCTCTGAACCCCTCTCTGAAAGCCCAACCCCTGCTGGCACCACAGTACTCTTCTGACCAGAGTAAATTATCACCATAAAATAGACACACACTGATTGGAGTGAACTCATATGATGTTTATATTAAACTTAGATGTAAGCTCAGTCAAACAGTAAAGAGTGGTAGATGCGTACTACCACTCTTAGTATCTGTAAGTAAAGAAAACAGCACATACAGCAACATCTCAATCAGTGTTGGCAGACCTGCTATTCAGAAGTTACCCAAAACCTGAAACCTGAGGTGCTTCTAGTCCCCAGCGAGCAAAGAAACAATTGTAGCAGGCTCCTTGTACAAGAGGATTCAGAAGGAATCACATGATCAGCAGTCAGCTTTCCTCTCTCTCCCCTTTTTGTAAAACCTGGGCATTCTGCCAAGTTCATGACTCATCCACTACACAGCAAAGAACACTGGGGGAGGAAGCAGGAAGTGAAGGGGAGAACAGAGAGACACGAGGCTGGAGAAAAGACAGGGACATGTGGAGCCCGTCCAAGCAGAGGAGGAGGCACTACAGCACCCAGCGCGGATAGAGGGACCCTGCTGTGTGTTCAGAGTCTGGTGAGCTGTCCCACTGGAGAGAGTAAGACACACCATTTACACTTTGCATATAGACTGGGACATCCGCACCTCACTGCTGGGATCTCACCCATCCGGGGCCCTGTGCAAGCCACAGATCCCTCTGCTTGCTTTGCCCCTCACCACCAGTGTAATTGAGACTGTCTGCCCCGGGGACTGACACATACTGGGAGATTGCATCCTGCGACTGCCCCTGGTCTTGGGGGTGCTTTGTGTTGCGTTTAGACACTGAGGTTGGACCCTCTCAGCCCAGAAACCTAGTGAAATCGGATGTACCCACACCAGCTGAAACTCCAAAGAAGCCTTCAGCTGCTATTTACTTCATTGTAAGGACTAAACGTGCACCAACTAGAGCTCCACCGTTACAAGGACTAGAGTGGGGGAATCTGGCTTAGTAGCTTTATTAGAGGTACCTCTTCATTGCATTCTGTTCTGACTCTGAGGTGATTTTTGGCTAACGCCCCTCAGAAGCAGAATCATACCCCGATGTGGGTAATACATTTCATTGATAGAGTATAAGTAAGTTTATTTGTTTGATATCAGTTGTATTCTGCTTAAAGTGCGACTCTGCCATCCGGAGACTCTTGGCTGTGAAGCCCTCTAGTGGCAGACCAAATTTACTGCATTGCATAAAAGAAGAAAAGTAAGTTTGGAAGTTGAAAGGTGAACCCCACCCCTCTACACTGCATTTCATTCTCCATAAAAATTGTTCTTGTTTTATTTAACCCTGTGTCAGCAAATTTCTTGGCGGGGTATTTGCTATTCATTACCAGTTGTGCCGGAGGGATTGGGTTTGCTTAGGGTTGGTTCTATTGAGCGCAGGACCCATGATATATTCTAGCTTGTCCCAAGGGGCAGTGCTACACAATCAAAGGCAGAACTAGCTCACTTTGGGCCCTCAGGATCTGATGGCAAGATTTAAATCTGAAAAAGAAAGGAGATCCTTTAATTAGGGTAGTCAACGTCCCTTTAAATGCAATGAGGAATCTTCTGCACGCTTGTTGGAGCCTAGTTGGTGCACTACAATGATCCAGACCTTGTAAGTAAGAAAAGATGAAAGTTGCAGTCCTTCAAAGGATTAATACAAGGGAAGAAACAGGAAGACAGATACTATCCTTTTAAGTGGTGCATAACTTGGGTGGTGTTTCTTTAATGCACTAAGCAGGTTGAAAACTTTAGGCAAAATGGTGTCAGAAGTTGGGAGAAGCACTTGCTGATAAAGGGCAACTCCTCACTGGGCTACAGTAAATAATAACAACGATGGTAGATGTTCCTTTAGGA